CGTTGGCTGTCTTGGCCACCAGGGCACACTGCTGGCTCATATTCAGCCGCCTGTCGACCAACACCCCCAGGTCCTTTTCTGCTGGGCAGCTTCCCAGCCCCTCTTCCCAACACCTGTAGCGTTGCAGTGGGTTGTTGTGACCCCAGGGCAGGACTCAGCCCTTGGCCTTGTTAAACCTTTTCCACGTGTTTTTTAAATAAACTATGGAACTCATTATTACAACATGTTAGAGATATTAATAAAAGCAGATCCCCAACGGGAAGAAGCAAATTCAGAGTCAGTGGTCTCACTGACCTTCTGGCACCCTGAGGCATGGGCAGAGCTAGGGAATAAAAAAAAAAAGTTGGGTGGAGAACTTTCACCAAAAAAACCCCACCACACTGCTTCTTCAAAATAAAAGAACTGGAAGGAGAGGAGAAGAATGAACTGCCAAGACGAACACAATGGAGTGAGCTAAAAAGGACCAAACCTGAATTTGGCCAAGGAATCTACAAAGCTCTAAAATCTGCTGTCTAGAGGCCAGCACCCAGGCTGAGCCAAACCAGCACCTACTTACCACCTGAATGGGAAACTACCAGGAGCTGCATGCATTTGAAATTAGTTCTGCTACACAACCAACATCAGAGTGAACTGGCCTTTTCACATGAGAAAAATCATTTAACGCATATGCTACCACTGGTTATAAGGTAAACTAAGTAACCGGGACCTTGCCTTTCTGTGTGACCCTGCAGATGTTACATACAGCTAGTAATTAATCTCTTCCTGCACTGGGGTAACCCGACTCCATTCTTAAAACTCTGCAGTTAACTGGTTAACAGATCTTATTAATGCAAAATTAACAAAAAATATTTACGAATTTAACTTAAGAAGCAAAGGCCAGCAAAGTCAGCTGAAGCTTGGAGTTCACGGAAGCAGCTGATAGAATACTTGCAGCAAGAACCGGATCAAGTACTGCAGTCTCTAAAGGTAGAGACATACTTGGGCCAGAAAGTGCCAGACTTGGGGGTTTATGACCCCTCACTTTTGTGTCTCCTCTGCATACCAGGGCCTTTGAGGAGCGCTCATGGGAAGAATTAACAAGATTCACAAAGGTGTCAAACCTGGGCTCTCCTCGGTGGCCCCCTATGCAAACGCCAATATTCCTCAGCTTCATTTAACTTGGATATTTCAGCTATTAACACAAGCTGGCATGACAGCTTTAAAGCATAAAAGATTTACTGACACCTCTGGAAACCCTTCAGAGTGGGATTTTTTTTTTTTTTAAAACACAATCCTAAAGCAGCTTAATATGCTTAAAGACTTAACATGTTAGACTTCTTCCATCCATCATTAAAATGCCAACATACCTGCCACACCTAAAAATACAGGAACAATCATCAATTTATTCTGGGTTTTTGATAGTTATTTTACTGTCATTTCAGAATCATAAACTTATCTGCTCATTAACACTTTCCCAGTGGGCTTCATCTCACAAAGTCATGGCATTCAGGATTTTAAACATCCTCTTACAAAAGAGAGGAAGCGGTTATAAAAGTTTCCTTTTTTTTAAGATTTCCAGTGAGGGATACAGGCAGAAACGTAACTTGCAAATTTGGGTACCTCCACCTTCTATAAGCACGATTCTTCACGAGGTTATTCCTACGCTTGCAATTGTGCTCGCAGAGGGGCTGGCTGGTAACTGAGATCTCCCACCTTGACCAGGAGCAAGTTAGCAGGAGCTGGGTCAGCCTGGCACCCGGCCATTCGGCAGAGCGATGGGACTCTGGGAGGGTCGGGGTACCCATCTTCTGCCTAAAATCTAGCCCTTGAAGTTCCTCTTTCCATCGTTATCTAATTAAACCATCCTTAAACCCTCAATTCTGTCACATACCAAGCTCAGGAGACTATGCAGACCAATTTCGGAAACACGTCTCTAGATCTAAGCAGCAAGCACCCCTTTGTCTGCCATAACCTTATCTTTCAGCAAAGGTATTTTTCAGACTACGCTTGGATTTGCATCAGAAATCAGATTAGGTATGTACACACTACATTTCAAACACTCCCCCTGGCACAAGTTTCAACAGTGGAGCCTCCAACAGCAGCTTGTCATGGCTGAGACTTCCCCAGATAGAAACCCACAAGTATCCCAGTTCTGTTCTACTAGAAGAGATCTCTTCTTTCTTTACATATACATTTTTTAAAGGAGCTCACTATGCTGCACTGGAAGCAGTTTTGGAAAGCGGACTGCAAACAGCAAAGGATTTTAAAAGCCAGACTCATGGATTTTTTTAACCCTGGTAACCCTGCACATGACAGCCAGCTTCTGGTCATCACAAAGACCCACCTAGGGAGAGCATCTTGTTTGACTGCCCCTCACCATAACCCCTGCCACACTCACCTCGCCTGAGTAACTGTATTTTCCTTTCAGGATCTGCCGATACAAGCGGGTGCGATTGTCATCTTCAAAGGGCATAGTGCCACTCAGGAGAATGTACGAGATAACACCCAGCGCCCACATGTCCACAGAGTTTGTGTACGGCTTCCTGACCAGGATCTCGGGAGCAATGTACTCTGGGGTCCCACACGTGGTTTTCATCAGGCAGTCATCTCCCTTCTTCCGAGCACTTGCCAGTCCAAAGTCCGTAATCATGATTTTGGAATCTGTTCCTGGATGGTAATAGAGCAGATTCTCTGGTTTTAAGTCCCGGTGTGTGATACCCAGCGTATGCAAGTACTTCACACCATCTAATACCATCTGCAGCACACGTGTCGCATCTCTCTCAGTGAAGGAACCTTTAGCAATGATTCGATCAAACAGTTCTCCTCCGGTCGCCAATTCCATCACCATGTACACACGGTCCTGGGTCTCAAACACCTCAATAAGCTGGATGATATTGGTGTGCCGAACCCGTCGTAGCACACTAAGCTCTGACTCGCACACTTCCCTTCCCTCCCGGTATTTGGTCTCTATCATCTTGATTGCATAGGGCTGCTTGGTAGCCTTGTGTTCCACCCGTACAACACGGCTAAAACTCCCTCTCCCGATCAGGGCTTTAATGTCATACTTGGCTGTCACTCTGGGGTCAAATTTGGCGCGGTATTTAGCCACTTTGTTCTTGCGGGGTTCGGGTCGGTCCACATGGGCAGGCAGGTGGTTCCCCGGGTACGGGTTCGCGTGGTGTGGAGGTGAGGGAGAGCCAACTTTGATGACAGTCCCACAGTCATCTTTGATGAAATGCTTGTATATGTCACTGTGGCCTGTGTACGGTTCGACTTTTTTAACCAGGTCTAGCTGCACATCTTTGGGGGGCTCGGGAAGCACTTTGCTTGTCCCACAGCCCATCACTGAATGGTGTTAATTCCCTATCAAGGCATTTTCCCAGGGCAGCATCAGCAGCAACCACATTTGGAGCAATCCCCACATTTGAACCTTAGGAAAAGGATGAGAAGAAACAGATAAACCAGGATCAAGGTAGTAAAGTTTCAAACAGGGAAGAAAATGCAAGTGGTTCACACCTCAATGAAGCCACGCTACCGCAAACTGGGAGTTTGGAATTTTCACTGTGCTGTACTACAGAGCACGCGTGGTGCTTTGCTGCTGTCATCAACAAGCTGGGGAAGATAGTGCCCACAAAAAACCCACTCGCTGTCAGGACTGATGTCTGTGGAAACTACCCAGTACCTCTTTCTATTAAGCGGTTTAATGCTCCCAGCTGAGCACTGAATCAGAGCCACAAAACAGCTGAGGTTGGCAGAGACCTCCGGAGGTCTTCTCATCCAGCCCCAGTTGCTTAATAAAAATCAAATTAAGGAAAGAGCTGAGCATTTTCCTTAATTTTGTTTAATCTGCTCAGCTTCGTAAGACAGCAGCCACTCCAGATCTTGCAGCTTTGAAATTTCTCATGAGAAACTCCACAAAGTATCTCAGCAACTTGTTCACTTAGCAAATCTTCCTAGGGTTTTCTTCATATTTAACTGGTACTGGTGTCTTAAACATCTCACTGCTTTGCTCCTGGGGATCAGTGAAACTGTGCAGGAGGCGGGGATAACTGAGAGAGGCACACTGTTTTTAAGACGTGCTTTACCAACTAACTCACTGCAGCCCCTGCAAAAAGGCAGCCCAGCTTTTAGCTCACAATTCCCTCACCCTCCAAACCCTAAGAAATCAAGGTGGGCTTTGACATCTTTTTAACCTCCTGACTCAGCTTTGCTTTCTGTCATAATTTCAGGTACCAAGCACAGCACTTCTGTTTTTCCATACGGAGCTGGCTGTAGGAAGTGTAAGTGGAATTGCTACCAGCTGCTCCAGACTAGAGCAAAGGGAGTTCTTGCTCATCACACTGTATTCCAGCAGAAGCAAACCAGCTGCACTTCAGCAAGTGCTGATTTAAAACAATACTGTTAGCTAGGAGATGGAGAAGCTGCCCGTACACGTTCCGGCAGTTAGCCGAGCATTTCCACTCTTGGGCTCAGAGCCCCAGTACAGTGCCTGAGCCTTCACAGAAGGCTACAGAAAAGCTGTCAGCCTTGAAACATAATTGTATGCCTTACCATCACTGAGCCTATCTTCACTCATTCACCACCTCTCCAAGCAACCATTCAGCACGAACAGCAGAAAGGGAACCCCGGTTGGTCTTCCATCAGGAGAATTATGTGGAAAAGAAATGTTATAGAGGGCTGCCCGGAAGAAGTTTAGACTCTACCTCCAACCTGGAAAGAAAATAAGGCTTTAGTGAAGATTCACTTTTAAAACCAGACATCAACAAAGTAATTTCTCACATAAGTAGAAATAAAAAACAACTTCATAGAAAGCTTAACTGACATTTGAGTTCCACCAAGGGCTGTCCTGTAATTAGGTATTCATTCAGATTAAAGTACCATGCCAAAAAAGAAAGAAAATACCATAGCTGTTCCTGAACAATGCCTCACACAGCCAGTTTTTTCCAGCATTACTGTACCTTAAAGCATACTAGGTTAACAGATAAATGGAACGAGAACATCTGCAAACAAGGTTATTACAGAGTAATTCCACACGTAGAGAAGCACTTGTGTAAGATCCCCCACCCATACACAAAACCAATGAGAAGGATCAAAGGCTGAGCTTGAAAACCTCATATATAAACCCACCACTGCTCATAACATTAACCGAGCTCAGGCATCAACTAAGAGTATGTCAGCAGCTCTGCCTCAAACACGGAAAGATCTGTGAAGGTGAAGCCTAGAGAACCCTAGAGCTGCACAAAACACTTAACTCCACACCAGTGCCGGTGGCAACGCTCCTGTGTAATAACCCCCAGGAGTTTGGGAAAAGGAAGCAATGCAGTAGAGAACTGAAGCTTTACAAACCCCTCTGAGCAGGGAATCACACACTCAGCAGGTGCCAAACTATCAGAGAGGACAGCGTGCCTGAGCTGCAGCTGTACGCAGTGGGAAGGAACACTGGGTTTGTGCTTCAGTGTCTGCCTGCTTCTCTCCTTGGACAACCCACACACCAGATCCCATGGCTCTGTGGGGCAAGACCTCAGCTCCTGCTAATCCAGAAGCATCCTCTGCCTCTCTGAAAGTATCACAGCCTGGATGGATCCATACCTGAGGGTGTCCCTGTGCATAAGGGGTGTCAGCCACCTGGCTAACCCACCCAAGGCCCCGCAGGCCTTCGCCACCAATTTAGTGTGAAGCTATTTAATTTCACTTGAGATGCCAGTAAGGAAATTTGAAGATATCAGCCCTTAACCACCTATGCGATGCTCACACACAGCAACCTGCAAACCATGCCTATGCCAAGGCAGCATAATGGGGGGTGGGGTGGGGAAGGAAGGCCAGAGAGCACCTCACCTTTAGTTTTACTAACAAATTTTAAAGTGCATCTTATTGCCTGATGCTAACCTCGTGCTACCAGCCGCTTGGCTGGCAGCGCAAGCCCTTGGTGGGTTTCCGAGGGGAAACACTGGGCTGGGGCTGCGGTGGCTCTCCAGGCAGCTCTGCCGGGGCCAGCTGCAGGACTGAATCGGTCAAACCAACCGAGATTTCCAAAACTGACTGTTTTTCATAACTTCACCCGAACTAGAGCGTTTTCCCCCATCCTTTCCAGGAAGGGGACCCAGGGCTGGGCCGGTAGCTCGCCCCGGGGAGGGCTCGGCTCCAGGCCAGGGAAGCACCGCACC